AAGCATCAACCGCACCCCTATCCTCACCCCTGTCAGCCACATAGCCATGCCAATGTGTCATGATTTGAAGCGGACAAACCTTCCACAGCGACCCAAAGCACCAATGACAAGAACTCTGGGTTTGCGGCCGGCAATCTTCACTCCCTGGTTAACATCCTCTCGGATTTGGTCAACCATTTCTTGCTCGCTAAGATAATATCCCCTACCGTCAGTAAAATGATCTACACCGGGAAGGGGAGTATCAGGATGCTGAAGCTGCCAAGCCCAGGTCTTCAGAGAGAGAGCAGCACCAGCAAAGCCGGCATGATATCCTATGAGCACATTAGCCCTGTTCTTCTAAAAAGAATATTCGGAGATGTAATTTGCTCACCAAATGCAGCAATCCGTCTCCCATTATCATCCTGCGATCATTTCCAAAGTTATCCAAAATTAGCTGACATATTATTTCTCCAATTGAATAACCCTCGAATGACTCCCACTTCGCTATTCAACAAACCAGCAGCAATATGTTCATATATACGTGTGTATATGGTGTATATATCTCACCTGCAAGAACTCCAAATCATACAACACTCCATTCCCACGGCTCCATCTTCCCAATGCCTTCTCCCACCCTCCTTGGCCCTTATAGCAATGCGCAAATGTGACATGAGCATGTTTAAGTGGGAAATCCTTCGTCTCATCAAGCTCCTTCAGGCCCAGAATGATATCGTCAAGCGGTGCTTCAACCCATGAACCTTCTGGCACCAGTGTCGCACCAGCCTGTTCAAACTCCGCATCGGGGAAGATCCTCTTGCGCAGAGCAGAGGTGGAAGAGCGCTCGACCTTGACATTGTAGCCGGCATCTACAAGCGCGCGGGTGGTTTGTGGGGTGAGAGCAGATCTATGAGTGTGATTAGAGAAGTATGATGAATTTTTGTATAGGCTTCTTGGCTATAGTAGGGCGGCGGGGAAGTATAGCATAGAGCACGTACCGATGTTCAAGGATCTTGTCCTCCGCACGGAGGTGAAGAGTGACTGGAGCCATTGTAAGATATTTACGGTGGTGAGGTATACGATTGAAACGACTAGGAACAAATATTCTTGCAATTGGAGTTGTAAAGGGGATTGACCTCGGGAATACGATCCATGGACATAGAGTCATAGCTATTTGGGAGCGACTGGTGGGGTGGATTGCTGATGACTCAGCCGAGACTTTTGTCAGGTCATGTGATATCGTGGCATGCGATCCAATATGCGTATAAAGCCGATGGGGGTGGTGGACGCAAGAAAGCTTTGAATGGGAATTTCCTATGTTGCGGTGGTAGTTAAATTTGGTGATTTTGATTTTTCTGCATAAGTTTTTGGGTGACGTTCTAACCATTGATATGACAAAAATCTCTTTGAGATCGCCGGACATTTATCCGACGCTCAAAACGGTGGTTATTGTTTCACTTAACCTTAATAAAACTGCTCAATCCGCCAATTCTAGCAGTTCCAGGAGCAAAGAATGGGATCCCCGCCATTTGAAGGTTCATTGGCCAGCATCATACATATGTTTTGCGGCTCCCATAGTTATCAAAATGTCAGTTTGAACGGTTTCGAAGAACCAGGGAGCTGCTCAGCTAAGGATATAAGGAGTAACTAACTATATGTACTATTAAACAACGGGTAGAAGAAGAAGGGAAGCGACTAAAGGTTCCCTGCCCTTGTGCAGTAACAGGGGTTCAGAGATACAAAAGCCAGGTCTAGAGAACGCCGGTAGCCTAAAAGCAGAAACCCTCACAATATGAAAACTAACAGCCCAGCATAAACGCCAGGCAAAGAGAGAGAGGAACAAGATGTTGAGAACAAACATGCCGGGTATTACTATATCAGCGCAGCCAGTAACTCCGGTTAATATGCAAATACATCGCTTCCTCCGTCCTGAACCATGGAATAGGAAGCAGCGCGGATGGCGTGGATGGCCCAGGAGCCAATCTATTGCTTTCAATATCAATGCTAGCTTTTCGTTTTCCTTTGCTAAGTCTTGTATCTTCCCTGTCAATTTCAACCGGGAGGGATGACTCTTCCACATTTAGTTTCACGGAGAGCCGTTTTATGTTGTCGAGCCGTATTGTGGGATCGAAATTGATCAAAATTATTGGCCGTCTACCATCAGCCGTGGAAGGATCTGTCGAGTAGATGATAGACCGTTCATCGGAGGCGGCTTCTACACTCCCGCACCGCTTGGGAGGGCAGAGCAGCGACAGAAGTTCCGGGTGGGAATCTGGAGGAGGCCACAGCTTGATCCCGCGAGATTCAAAATGTTCATCACTGTCCGGTATTGGTTTGTTTTCCTCATCAAGTTCTGACGGATACAAAAGGCCATCCTCGCCAATAGGGCATTTGCGTTTCCGGGAACCTATACGAAGCCGTAAGTTGTCCCTCGGTTGATTTGATTGGGAATTATCATTGACCAGGTCAATAAAAGCTGATGCACAATGATTGTACGTTCGATATTTTGTCTTTGCAAGAATGAAGTCTCTGCGATTAGGCAAAGAATTCTCGTGGTCATCATATTCCGGATGGTAATATCGGCGAAGGCGCTTTTTGGGAGGCTCATAATTGGGTTTATTGCGGTCATCGAGAGCTAAAGCTAATGGATCATTTGGCAGAACAGGAACTGGCAAATACCCAGGAAATCCAGGGCTGGGGGACTCATGGCTCGAATGGGGTTCGCTTCCCGTTTGCCAATCCTTCGGCTGGCCCACGCCGTCCTTCTTATCCGCAGGATCTGTTATGAAACACGAAAGGGGTTGCATATAGTATGTCCTATAATGCTCACTGCCAGCTCGACGCCATTCTCTTCTACTCTCTACAATCAATAGTTGATTTGTTGCGTCGTCCGTTCGAAGAGAGATGTTTGTCCACGTGTCGTGGATTGGACCTTCGCGATGTTGTCGACGCCACAACCGACGCCATTCGACATTGTGAGGGGTTTCTACCGGAAACCGAAGGCAAATATAGTACGAAGTCCAATCGATTTCTTCGTCTTCAAAACCGGTTTCGTTCGAAATGGCGTAAAAGTGGTTGTCATGTATTTCAAAGCATATTGAAGATCCGATTTCAGATCCGACGAAATTTTCCAGTTGCACGGGTCGCTCTGCTAGGGGCTTCCTCTGCGTCAAGTCCCAACCATGAATGACCCATTCGTGGTGGCCATGCCCTGCGAACTCGGAATGAGTTCCGTAAAATAAGACCTTCTCATTGTGGCGGACAAATATTCTTCGGGAAGATTCGAGCTGCTGCAGGAGAAGCAGTCTACCGTTCTTTCGGGTACATTTTGCGCGAATGTCAAGGACAATTAGCCACGCTTGAGACCCTTCCATCTCACACAAGCCTGCAACGATGCCGTGGCTATAATTTAACAGTGAGAATTCCACCTCTTGGCTAAAATCCGGTGATACCGTGCAGGCTCGTCGTAACACAGCCCCAATATTGACGACTTGCTCTTCCCGAGCCGCTCCGTGCACATCCAGCGTGCGGATCTCGCCCCTATCCAAATAACATAATACGCCTTGGTTAAACAGAAATGCTTCCCCATACGCGACCAAACATGCTGAGTAAGGTTGTGCATTGGCCACGGCCTCACGTACGTCATACGTTCTCCTGAGGGCCTCAACATAGGTGATTTTTCCCTCTAATGCTAATTTCCCTTCTCGTGTATGGGAGATAGAAAGCTTCGTGAAAGTGTCAGTCTATACTAATTCGGGAATAAGTGTGGTACAGATATGTATTTATTGTTCAATATTATGAACTCACTTGTGCTGCGTTCCGCGCTGTAAAATCGCTTTTCAGTAGAGAATATAATTTCCGGTTGGCAAAGCTCAGGTTGATGTAATCTTGAGGGTCGAGACAAGAGGCAATTTGATACCATAAATCAAAAGGGATATCATCAATCGTAGTGGTCGGCATGATATAAGTAGACAAGGTCCAAGGGCACAAAGAGGGAGCAGCGGCTCGTCAGTATCAAGGAACCGAGTAGAAAAGAAAAAGGGCAACGTGATAATGTTGCTTCCCACACGATAGCCCCCTTGGACCCAAACAGGATGAAATTTTCAATTATATGAGCATTCTGAAGCAATACTTTTTTACCCTGATCAACCGGTTGTGCCAAAACCAGTGGAACCGCTAGTCAGGGAAGCAGTAAACTCCAAGAGCTGGAAGAGAGAGAGAAGATAAACAAGTACAAGTCACTACCGGAAGCTCCAACGAAACAAGTGCAGTGGCGGATTTATATTATTCTACAGATGAGGCTGAAATTCTGAATCAATAATCCCCCATTTCAATCAAGTTGGCACCTTATTTTAAAAAGATCTCAAACGTGACGGGGCCACATAAGGCTGGGGAATATTATGACAGTCGCAGTAGTACGAAGAGCCGATTTCCGACGCTTTTATTTGTCAATTCTCCCTGACGGATTCAAGCTGATCAGTCTTGGGGATTTGTGCAAACACTTTCCCGCTAAATGAGGCTCTGCGAGAAATTGGTATGGGTGAGATTTCCAAAGAACACTCCCGGAGCATGGTTAAATGTTCCAAGGTTGTCGCCGACGTATTTTTTCATTTTATTTAAAGTTCCCAGAATTGGTCACCAGGAAGTTCCAAGGGGCTTGTTGGAATGGCCCTAATCGTAGGTGTGGCGAAGCGTTGACCAAGACCATGAAGTGGGATAAAGACCTGGAAAAAAGGCGAATCGACGACAAGTTGGTGCGGTGGGAACTTGTTCCTGGGAAAACACACTGCAGCAGAGGAGTGCTGCGTTTGAGCCGCTTAACTCGACAACTTACCTGAATGATCGGGATTATCAGACCGCCCCTTGCGCGGATTCTAACGGGTGCAAGGGGCGGAGTGGCTCATCTGTTAATAAATAATGACTGCCTAATATCCGGATGATTTCCTAGGTCCGATCTAGGCGAGCTAAATCATTCCAGCTCAGATTTCCTGCGTAAATCGTCCTTAAAGCTGTCGAAATGTTGTTCAATAATGAGATTCCAGTGGGTACAACCGATTGGAAAGGACATCGTATTCAGCTCTGACATCGCATCCAGGGAGGCGATCTGATGTGCTGGACTTCGAAAAAGTGTTGCATTCCAACGCTAAAGTAGTTACGCCGCCATACAACTCCCAGCCAACAGAATGCAGGCAAGTTTCCCCCCGCCGTCTCATTGGCACTGCTGAGTATCCTTGGGGGAAATACGGCGCCCTTTGGTCTTGGTGCGGCTCCTTGGTGCGACTTTTTTGTGCCTTCGAAAGTTCAACCACAACAAAGAAGAACAACATGACGTGAGACGCGGCTCTGTGTTGCGGCTCTGCAGCAGTGAAACCTCCGAATTTTGCCATCGCCATCGTTGATTAACTTACCATTCATCATCCTTCTCTCCCCTTTTCTTCCAGTTCAACATTCCACTTCCCCCTGCTTCCCTTGTCTTTTCCCTTGCCGTAGCTTGGCCCCAAGAATGGCCAACAGGGGGGATCTATCGTGAAGCTTGCTTGCTTTGGTTCCTGACTCTCTTGGGGCTAAATAGTTAACTACTGCGCATGTGGTTCATCGTGCTGCATCCGAGAGACCATCTTCATCCTGTGCTATCTTCCAGGGATCTATCCGTGCACTTGCCATGTTAAAATCTGATATTCAGGCTTGAGACCCTCTCGATCGCGAACAGCCACCAAAGTGGACCAATTGCGCTTTCGCGACGGAAATCTTTCCACTAGAGACAACCCTCGTTTGCTGGAGCTGCTCCCTTGGTGAGATCAGGATATAGTTTCCCCAATTGGTGAGTTGCGCATGTTGCGACTGTGATCATGTCACCGGGATTTTGGTGTTCCACTGGTTTCGTGGAGTAGTTCCAGCTTAGTGCCAAAATACATGGGGACCATCTTGATGGACAATTGCGGGGTGAAGTAAATACGCTGCTTAATGCACTCCCCACCCCCCCCCCAAGTACCTACCCCCTTCTTTTACCCCTCCACCCCGCATCCCAAGAAGCTGGCTGTTCTAGTGATCCGTGTTTCTACCCGTATCAAGGTGACCTGGAGGCCAGCCACCTTGGACATTCCTAATACGAGAAGGAACGGCTATACAGTGGCCGACGTTCCATGTATGCATGCTGAGTTCCAACAATTGGCCTACTCTGAACCACTAGAAAGAATACCTCCTCAGTTCCCTCCGTGCAGCAACTCGATTCACTTGCTGAGAAGGTTCGAGATTCAACCTAGAATATTCCAATTGGCAAAGCATACGCTGCGTACGAACGTTCCCCTTGCGAAACATGCAAAGCATCTAGGCATGCTTTGCATGAAATATCATCAACATTGTACGCCACTTTGTGGCCCAGGTTTCCGTGTCATTGTTCTGCTCGAAGATGACACTAGTCAACAAATCAAATGAATAACTCTATTGCAAACCATTCGCATAACCTTTCCTGGTCAAATTAATAAACTGATCTTCCCACATTCCACGTTACCTGCTCCCGTCGTTTACATCCGCATGTGGTGGAAGCCATGAAACGATTATTTCCTGCATTGAGCTCCCCATCAGCAGAACGGCGTTGACTCTCTATTTTCTTGGCAGCAGATAGAGTGATCTCGCGCTTCAAGGGCCTGTGTGCCTATCCTGTGCCTATCCTGTGACTATTCTTCTCGTTGCTCCTTCATCGCCCTCAGCCTTGCAGCTCAAGATCGATTTTTATTGGTTCGTTAGTTAATTTACGCAGCGTATGCTAGTGAGAAGGTCCACACGACACTATCATCCTCCCAATCCAGTTCCCATCCTTGAAAAGGATGACAACGCTGGAAGCAGCGTGTGCTCACAAAATGGCTCTGATAAGTCCACCAGGTCAAACTCCACATGAAACCATTATTCTCATTAAGGTCATTTTGACAATTCATGCCTGAGCTTCTCGAAAAAATCGAACATTCTTAACAATTCCCAAATTGAGATTAGTGTGGTTTTGGGTATGCGCCCTGAGATTTTGGTGAAATGGAGATGAAAAATATACTGGTTTAATGAAGCAAAATTAAAATATTTCATGGCCGGAGCCATTGACTTTTCTTTCATTTGGACAACAAAGGCCTGGTTTAAATGTCTCTAGCACCCATGTCAATAAACGCCGCCGCATGGCAAATTATTAGCCTGGCAGGCTCGAGTGACCTCCCACATTTCGCCGTATCAGGGCTTTCCTTCGTACCCGTGTTTCTATATGACCAATCCGACGAATGGCGGGGTTCTTAAACAACAGCCCACCCAAAATATTCAATTTCGATCGCCTTGTGATGTTTGCATTATTCGATCAGAGCCGTGTGCAAAGTGAAGGAGTAAAGCGCCCAACGTCCAATCGAAAATCTGGCCATTTGTGGTTTCTGGTCTATTCTGAGTCGTGAAAATACCTGAAGTTACTATTCGTTTTGTGTCAGAGCTCACCAGCTGAGGCTTAGAAGCCATACAGCTATCGAGAGAGAGTGACCAATGACAAGATGGCCGGTAGCGGAAAGTTCTCCTATGATTTCATATTTCTTGGCCCTATGTATTTCCGAAGAAAACCTAGCAGCCATCAGATATGAAGGTGGGGTGGCAGGCACAGCCTCGTCACCCTCTTCTTATCTTTACTTCTTCGTGGCACTTGTACAGCAGTGTTTCATTAAGCTGCTCAACGAAGTAACAATCCTGCCCAACCTTCCTATAAGCCTTATAACTTGGGTACAAAGATGAACACATATGAATGCAGCTCTCTGCAGTCTTCCAACCCGACCTGGTGCTGAAGAAGGAAATGAAGTCATGGCAAGCGCCCTGAGCGACGGAAGGAACATCATGAAAACTAACTGACTATCATGCACGTTCGGAGCCGGGCAACACATGCCCTATATACCCATTATTGGTACTGGTCGAGTGGGCCCCTTTGACCTTTGCCAACCTCAAAAGTTGAAAGCCGTGTTCCAACGGATATTATCCAAGTTGTCTCGCAGATAAATCAAGCCCTTAGATGCCGGTGACGCATTCACCACCGTGCTGCATCAATCAGTATGTTGCCGGTCGAAGCTAGCAGTTTCCAAAATTATCTCTAGCGCCACATACCTACATTCGCCGTCGAGATTCTTGATTTATCAAACCCGACATGATCATTCTACTTCAAAGGATTAGTCACACCATTATGTACGGAAGCCAGATGGTGCTCGTTATGGATACACACACCTGAGACTGACGAAGCATCTGGCTATTTCCTATTTTGCTTTGTTTTGTATGTGGTCAATTCGTCTCTGGACACTGGAACCTTTTGCCTCAAATGGGTAATGATGACAAATTATTCTCAATATTTTACCAGCGGCCACACTGATGGTGTACATCGGGGTGGAATTTCTACGTGTCATCTCGTTCATTAGAGCATCAAGAAAGCGAGCTTGCGTCTCGCCTCAGGCGATGAAACTTCGTTATCGAAGGATCTGTGAAAAAGGGTTGATATTTATTCAATTTCCTCTCCCGGATTCTCCGTCTTTTAACGCCATTCTATGCATAGTAGTTCAAGGTGCTGCGGGCGCCCATACAATCTCGCATATGTATCCATCGTTTGCCACACGCATAACTCTTCGAACGCCGAAAACATACAGGGCCGCATCAGATACATTGTCGGCTAATACGGAAAGAAAAAAAAGGGGTGGGGGATCTCGTTATCCGCGATACCCGTCTATCTCTCGCAACCGATAGTCGATAGTCATGAAATCAGTCCATCATGGATCAGCTTCTCCAGTTGCGAATTATGGGCCGGATGCCATTGCTTCGTACTCAGTATTCGTCGTTTTGTCGAGGGGAATACGGTATTTAGGCATGAATTCCACCGTATAATATAACGGTGAGTTTGTGCGCAGTTGTATATTTTCGACGGGATTTGTTCTTAAGATCTGCAATGAAATTATGGATGGCAGTGGATTCAAAAACAGGAGGGGATGTGAGGATCAGGTTAGAGGTCAGAATACGCGACGGGAAATGAGGAATCCAGACTTCTTGAGGGCAAGTAGAGATGACTTCCAAATCTATCTATTCTCTTCCTAGAGGCCGCCAGCAGACATGTACGCAAACATCAAAGGTTTAAAGGGAGCCAGTATCTGTCTCGGGAGTAGTTTACTTCCAAGGAGAGTTGATCCGTGGGGGCACGACGATAGTATGTATCCATTGTTGAAGGTGACAAGGAAGATAAAGGCAGATTGGCAGAATGAGACCTTTTGATAATTATATGGGTTGAAGCTCGATGATGGGACTGTCCTGCGTGTGATACTCTACGAATGCGATTCTTTTTAGTTCCGGATAAGTGCGTGCATGACAAAGGGGCCGGGAACGCAGGGCAACGAACGCTTTGCACTACAACCACAGTTGTAAACGAGGATGCAATGTTTTTACTTATGGATTGCCCACTGGGAATCTCCTCGGGAATCTTATTCTTCCAAGGAAGTTAAAAAGGTTTCACATACTTCTTACGGGAGATGGCCGTGGCCTATTCCCTTTCATTTAGCAAACTACAAAGGGGGAAATGTGGCTAACCGCGCTATCCCATATAAGCCTCACTCAGAGGACCTACATTTCATGGTAGAGCCACAGCAAAGTTGAAAATATGAAGGCCTTAAGGGCTTGGGAAGGCCTTAAGGGCTTGGGAAGGCCTGCCATTTCTTCATGCGATACACATGGTGCCCAGCGGCGTGGCGGTTGATAGATCCTGATTTTGAAAGAGCGCTTGACATCCTGGGTAGATGCCCTTATCAGGGGTGTAAAGTATTCTGGAAGTGCTCAAAACACCCGGAAACATACCCTTGGTCGGTTGCAAAGCCATATTGTATATAGATAGATGTGCTCCATTATTTTCTCATTGCAATAGCGGCTAATTAACAAAGGCGCTGTGCAAATCCGATACACAGCTTGCTTTCATACAATGATTGATCTCCTTAGCGTATTTAGATGAACAGGAAACCAAGCGATTGTACGTGCTGTACTCTGTACATGTACTGTAGATACCCGGGATAGCGATATATAAAGGATTTTGTAGCTCCAAAGGGATACTCCAATTTGTTAACTTGACAAAATTGATATTCAGGGTACTAGCCTTGTGTATTTACTGAGATTCTGGCACAGTTCTTTGTGCCTCAATTTTTGGCAGTGTACTAATAAGCTCCTGAGAAGAAAGGTCATTGAGGAACAATGAATGGCTATGTTTTTAGCTATGAAACAACACCTCTACCATAAGAAAAAGGATTACCTCGATTCCGGGTTAGTCTCAAAAGAAGTCAAGTAATTGCAAGGAGAGATAGATAATGAAGTTATCTTTATTAGTTGACATGTTGAGAATCTCATTACAAGATACTGAAAGGTTATATATATATATATAGTCTTCAGGAATTACCCAGGCGAGCAAAAGATTGAAGAACACGAGAAAGGGAAAATTCAGCATCATTCGAAGAAAAGAGCTTGTAAACTGGCAGCAAGGTAAAAATGAGCCCAAAGCCACAAACCATCACGGTAGAACTCATGAAACGGAGTTTGGGGAATTACCGCGCAGAAGGCCGGTAAGTCTCTCCCCGTGAGCCAGAACAGCTTCCACCGGTGGAATCGATATAAGTACATCGTGGTAAGGTATAGATCATTTGTAAGGTATAGATCATTTGAAAACCTCATTCCCACAATAATAGCTATCAAAAAAAAAAAAAAAAAAAAAAAAAAAAAAAATAAATACCTTCTTGCCTCATTTTTCATTCATCTCTTGAAGTCGAATTCAGCCCAAAGCTCAAATACGGTCGAATTCAGCCCAAAGCTCAAATACGGTCACGCATCCGCACACCCTTCATGCCACAACTTCTGGCAATCCCAACAAACCAATTGCCATATCCGGTACGATTCTTGAACGAGTATTGCCTCGCCTCGTATATTTTACTCGAGGCTAGCGATCGCAGCGGTGGTTTTGGGATATGGTTTTCATATGTCAACGATCTACTCGACCTCGAGCGAAATAATGCCGCGGGCATCCAACGCCAACCGCAATCGCAATCGCAAACCCAATCCCAATGCAACGGGGAATATCTTCTTCACTTTCTCGAACATGAAAGCGGCCATTCTTCCAAACATAAGCGATATATGGATGCGGATGGTGATGTGAAGATGCCTGACATAGCCGATAGGCACGACAATAGCAACAACAACGATTCTCTTGAACGGGTCCTGGATGAAATTTTGCGAGAGATATGATGAGGCATGATCATTGGGTGATCCGTGGGGATATAAAAGAGGTCGGGTGAAAATTGAATGTGGCAGGTCCCATATTTGTCGTCCACCTCAACTCAAATTTTCTTTTTCTTTCTTTTCATTTTCCCACTCTCTGTTTTCGTTAGATACCCATAAGGTCCCCTCTCTCGTTTCATAGTCATATATCACCCTCTGTGGGTTCTGAGTACAGTCCACTCCCCCCCCCAAAAAAAAATACTTGTTTACTAAAGGTAGAATCTCCAGTTAGTTCATGAGTAGATCAATGTGGAATGACGGTTGCGTCGAATAAAATCCCCTAGGTGTTCTTGGGAAGTCCTTTTCCCGAATACACTCATGTCTCTCCATGGACAAACATGTTCCCTTAGCACTGCTGATGACCAAAGCTCATAGATGCGTTCTCCTAGCCTATCCACAGAAACAAGAAGATGGAGGTCTGATATTTGCTCAAAAGGGAACGCAAATTAGAGTGATCACGTGCACCGCTAGCCGCAATGCCCCAGATTGTATGACGCCATGGGCGTCACTAACACGGGCCGAAGGCTGTATCGAGCGGTAAGAATTCCGGAGATATATTTGATCCGACATTTCTACTGCCAAAGTGCAGCAAATAGTGTGACAGAATCACTCTTGGCGTTGTTATGGGCCTGTACCGCTCTAGCTCACCGGTAACTTATTCCCCTCCATCCCATTCTACCGAGCCGCGAGCGATTACTTGCCCGCTTCTTCTGTCCCCCCCTCAATCCCTCATCCATCCCTACCTCCCTCATCGTGCCTCTTTCTCTCTAACGCCCAGTCTTCCTCTTCGATATCCCCGCTCAAAGCTCTGATCTTCTGCGTAATCGCGACGTTCTGCATTTCCCATCCTTCGCAGAGTATGTACCCTAGAGTTGCTGTAGCTGAGATAACGTTCAACCCTCGTGAGAACACGCTTTCTTGACATCCCTCCCACCAACCCTAAACCCAAATGCTGGATCCCTCGAATTCGTTGACCAGCGATCTTCTTGCCGGCCTCTGTATATCTACTGCTTACTGCGTCATAAAACGAGGCACCAACTAAATCTACCCCTTTCCGGCACAACTCAACATTCTTCACAACAACCCCCTCTTGCGGTTGAATCTCACAAGCTATATCGCAATGGCCTCCCAGCAGCAGCAGTCCCTCCAACCTTACCAACATGGCGAAGTACACTCCTCTTCGACCAGCTTCCACCACATAAGCCATACAGCACCGGTCAATACAGCCTCTCAGCAACGAGCGCACCAAGTCGCATCGCAGCACACCTCGCATTACGATGCACAGGGGACAGCGGCATTCCTAAGGGATTTAAACCTCGTCGCAGAAGCTGCAAAGAGGGCACAGATGGCGCTTATCGCGCGAGACCTCGAGGGAATCTCCTTATAAACAGATACTTTAGAACTTATACATGTATAGTATAGTACAAGGTATATCTGGGCTCTTTGGAGAGGTTTGGGCCCTGGCGTTTCGATAAGGGATGGTTAATTTTTGAATGTCCTAAGGGTGATCGATTTCAGCGGGATTATATATTAAGGGTGTTGGCATTGGCTTTTATTTACAATATATAACATAATTATCTCTCTCTTCATTACGTTCTCCTCTGTTTTCTATTATACATCCCCTGTTGCAGCAAGCTGTCATCCCATTGCTTAGTCATGTAGGCCTTTTGTTTTGTTGCGGGGGGGTTGAGGTGAAAAATAATCAATTCATTATTTATGTACTACCACACAAAACACTCTTTTTACCACTTAAATACCTGCGGAACTAGTATACCCACTGCTAGCTATGGATTCAAATTCAGAGAATGAATCAGACATTGAATTCGGAGACATCTTCCAGGATCCGGAGGGATTCTTACCCCCACCCAAGGAAGCAACTTTTGAAGAATATACCATGCGCTCCGGCCAAACAATAAAACTACGACTCGTGGGCAGTCATCCGCTTTGGGTACAAATATTTCTTTAGAGCTCATCTATATATCTATATACTAGTAACCTGTCAATCAGGCTCTCCTCCCTTGAAAACCGCCCTCAAATCTACCTCAGCTAATCGGTTCGCAATTGAGGGCTTCCTACTCTGGAATGCAGGGAAAACAAGCGCAGATTACCTCGAGGACAAGGCGCGCGAATGGGTCGAGGGGAGAGATATACTAGAACTAGGCGCCGGTGCTGGTCTGCCCAGTCTCGTCTGCGCAATCCTCGGCGCCCGCACAGCCGTCGTGACCGATTACCCAGATTTCGATCTCGTCGAAAATATGCGCATCAACGCACAGGCCTGCGAGTCGTTATTATCTTTAGGGGGAACGGATGGGAGTAGTCCAAAGTCGTCGCCGCTGAGGGTTGAAGGATTTAAATGGGGCACGGATCCGGAGACGGTGTTGAGACATCTGCCCGACGATGCTGGGCTTGGTGTCGATGGTCGTCGTGGGTTTGATTTGTTGATTTTGGCAGACGTGATATATAATCATCCGCAGCATGTGCAGTTGATTACGAGTGTGAAACAGACGCTGAAAAGGACTCGGGATGCGGTGGCGTTTGTGGTTTTCACACCGTATCAGCCATGGCTGTTTGAGAAGATCGTGGCATTTTTTCCGCGCGCGGAGGAGAGTGGGTTTGTGGTTACGAAAGTGTTTGAGAGGATGATGGAGAGACTTATGTTTGAGGAGGATCCTGGGGTAAGTTTCCATCTTTTATATTTGGGCAGTCAGGGTGACGGAAGGGAGCTATGCTAATATCTTTCTATTTGTCTTGTAGGATGAGACGCTTAGGCGTACTGTGTTTGGATATGAATTGAGGTGGAAAGAGGAAGAGCTGGACAAGCAATGACACCATGACTCCTTGTGGAGAATTAAATATACAAAAGCCATAGAATTATAGATTGTTTAATTGCTCGAAGTAATTCAAAAATGCAGGAATTTCTGTATATCTTTTGCACACCTTTTCAGAAATTGTTCTTTTCTAGGCATTGTGTCCGTCATCATATAACCAATTTTAATAGACATTCTAGTATTCTTTCGTACTGTGACTTGTCTATTTTATTTAAATTCTGACATTATAATTGCATTTCTATACCCGCGATGTTTTGCCCCTCCAAACCCCTCCATGGCGCTAGTTTATACATTTGCATCACCAGCAATACATACACCAAGGATCCTCCCTCCTCACAATTTCTTCCGCATTTCTTCATCCACGATTCATGAAATAAACAATAATGCCTGTAAGTAGGCTCACACCTCTCAAGCTTCTTTTCCACATTCTAAATCTCCCTCCCAGCTCATAATCTTAACCGGCTATCCTTGCTCCGGCATTTCCTACCGGGCAGAACAAATCTCCACGCTCCTCTCGTCAATCCAGGATTCCCTTACGACTACAACTACCTCTAAAGGACGATATAAATTCCACGTCGTTGGATCGCACGATGAGTCCCATCCGCGAACGGTGTATGATACTGCAAAGTCAGAGAAAGAGGCCCGGGCAGTGGTGTACGGGCGGGTGAAGCGGGCGCTTAGCAAGGATACTTTTGTCATTGTGGACGGGATGAATTATATTAAGGGATGGAGGTACCAGCTGTGGTGCGAGAGTAAGGCGGCGGAGACGACCTGTTGTGTGGTATGTCTTGGAGCTCCACCACCTTTCCTTTTGCCTTACCGAACCCTCTGCCTGCGATGAAGGGTGGGACGGTTCATTTATCGGGTATTGATATCACAATATCTTATAACCACATACTGATAATATTGTTTGCCACACGCGGAATTTTAGGTTCACGTTGGGACGCCGATTGACCAGTGCATTAAAAATAATGAGTCTCGGATACGGAAGCGGGAAATAAAAAAGAAGGCAGGAAAGGATGCGGAAGAAGAAGGTGGAAGCCCCGTAAACAAGGGGACTGAGACGGAGGCGGACATGGAGGCTCTCACCATAAGTGACGACGAGGAACCATACCCCCCCGAACTTCTGCAAAACCTCATATTCCGCTACGAAGAACCTACAACCCACAGCCGCTGGGACAAGCCACTCTTTACCGTACCATGGTGTGACGCTACTCCACCGGCTGAGGACATCTGGACCGCCTTAACAGGCATACCTGTATCCAAGGAGAAGTCTGCAACGGACACAGTCCCGTCCACCACATCGACCCTCACATCAGAGTCGTCCACAAACACACCCTCCATCACCACAACAGGAACCAGCACCCGCACATCCCTCCCCCGGCCCAAAATAGTCCCCCACCAGGCTACAATCCAACCCGCAACAACAGACCCTAGTGCCCTCCATGCGCTTGAAAAGTGTACATCGGGAATAATATCTGCGCTCCGAACATTCACCCTAGAAAACCCCTCCGCCTCCGCGGCTACTGCAGCTACTGCAGCGACTGCAGCCGAAACCGCCAAACACTCCCTTGGGGACGGGATAGCCATATCAGTACCTGGCGCTCAAACCCCCGTGTTCATACCAGCCGCCGCCCTTGCGTCTACACCAACAGATGAATTAGCCGGTGCAGGAGGCATTCTTGCTCTCCCGCGCCTACAGAGGCTGCGAAGGCAGTGGGTGGGGATGAACCGAGCGTATCTAGGCGGGGGACATTCGAGGGGTCAAAAGGGATTGGAGACTGAGCAGGCAGGGGATGCCTTTGTAAGGTTTTTAAATGCGGAGTTTGAGGGGATGGAGGAGTGAGCTGTGTTGTTTTGTTTATATATATATATATATATTTTTTTTTTTTTTTTTTTTTTTTTTTTTGGGGGGGGGGAGGGGGCTGCTTTAAGGACACAAAATAGATAACAAGACATCGTATGACAGCGGGGTTATGATGGATGATACCCCTTCCACTAGATGCGATCATTTGAATAAAATAGAGGATACTCGATGCATCGAGGTCAATGGGGCAAGTAAATTGTTTGACCTTCAGATCAGAAGCCAGCAACACGTGTATCTGCGAAGACATTCGTAGCAAAATGGTATCGTCTTGCTACATTGAAGAGCCACCTAATTTTTCTCTGAGCTGTTCGACTCCATTGGAGTAATGCAAGCAAGATGTGTAGTAACGAAGGGATAAAGAAATTAATTTGAAGAATAAATGAATAAATGGATCCCAGCTAGTGACACATGAAAAACTGGGATAAGCTCAGGAAATAACATACGAACTAGCACGATTTTTGTAATCGAGAAAAGGGAAAACGGAAGATCAGCTGAATACTGCTCCTATTTTCTTCGTAAAAAGCAATACAGAAATGGAATGGAAAAACGCATATGAGAGAAACGGAGGAAGGTCAAACTATATCTGTCTTGGTTCGTCTGTTCTGAGAAGTAAAAAAAAAAAAGGGCGTGACAGGCCGTTACAAGTCATTCGTCGCTTATTCGTCATAAAATCAGTGAAAAGCAACAGGGAAGGAAATGGAAAATGTAAATAAAGCAAAGCAAAGACACCTAGAAACAAAAAATAGCACAAGTCCTCCTATAGGTAATGTTAAAAGATAATCCAATAGAGTTGTTGTTCCCTCGGCCAGTTCGAATGGCGCTCCCAAAGATCTAAAATATTTCCACCATTCCACCATGTAAAAGAAAAACAAGAAAGAAGAATGAAAAGGAAGACATCCAAATAATCAGTACAGCCGGATTCATATCCCATGTGTCCAAAACAGGTCCCGATGCCCGAGGGACTGTGACATATATATGTAAAACAAACAAAAGTGGCATAAAGCAAATATAAAAGTAAAAACATGTAAACGAAGAGTAAGTGCAAGATAAAATCAAACAGGCAAAATCAACATATCAAGATGCAAAAGAGAAAATCCGAGAATGTATGTATCCACCATGAGATATTCCAAAATGACAAAGTCAGCTAAGATGCAGGAATATGTCCATCCTTAGGTTTGGGTGTGTTCGGATGGAGTAAAAGGTCTCCAATTCGTCAACAGGGGTCCATGAACTGTTCGGTCAATCCGGGGAATTTGGCGATCTATTTGGAGAGTAGTGCAAAGATGAATCCATAAAAAAGATGCCTTGGAAGCTACCCCGCATCTCTCACAGGCATGTCTATGTTCTCGTGGAAAATAGCACACACAATGGCAAATAATCTTGGGTCCATACCAAGAAGGATCATAAAAAGGAATGTAAAAACCAAAAAGAACATTTACAAGCGCAATTCCAAAATCCGGGATAGCTTAGAAAGAGGGGTCCTGGGTGAACGGGAAAGCCCGCCGACATTTATGCTTCAGTCATCGAGAAACACCTGAAGACATCTCATTTGCAGCTTGGCTAGCTCGAATGCAGCGGTAATTCAGAGCAAGAGTATGGAGTTCCTGCAAGCTGGCATTCGCCTTGTCATGTAGACCTGGGTCCTGAGGATTGATGTTGTTCAAATCCTCCTTAAGGCGCGCAAGGCAGTTATAGTAGTTCCGCTCAGCGTTTTGGAGCTGCTGTTCTTGCTGAGCTTGCGTCTGGGCAGTCTTGGCTAGGCTAGATGTTTGGGTTGGAGAGGATCGGACTCGTTTCATAGTTGTTGCTTTGGTTCCTTTTCTCTTGCGAACTGTAGCATCCTTCTTCTTGGATGGTTGACCAGCACCTGGAGACCGCTCGGGCGAGCTGACTCTCTCTGACGAAGCATAGTCATGGACTCGTTTCATGTGGTCATGAAGATTCCAGCGACGGGGAAATCCATTTCCTGGAACGGAACGTTCGCAGGCGGAGAAGTGGCAGAGATGGGGATTCTCTCCATGGCCATGCATTCCATGTGCTTCCCGTTCATGGCGGAAGAGGCAAGCATTGGAAGAGAAGTGGGCATCCACACATTGGCTGACCTTGCACCGGTATGGCTTCAAGTGGGAATCAAGGTATTTGCTGAGAGATATTCGTTAGTGACGAACACGCACTTCTGCAGGAAGACGAGGGGCACTTACTGGTAACCGCATTTTTGTGTTGTCGGTGGGTGTGAACAAGGCTTCTCATCGTTCTCAAAGGGACAGTGGTATTTTCCATCGGCTTGGGTTGGCAGGGAATAATAGTGATGGTCTCTAGGGTTCCTTGTCTCCTGTGCTTCCTTAAAATTTGGACTTTGGCCTGCAGGAAGAGGATATACGGCTTGCTCTTCTTTTCGTGTTTGGGGTTCTGCTGCAGATAGTAGTGGTCGCTGGTTTTGCTTTGAAGCCCTCACGGTTCTGAGACGCGAGATAAATTAGCATCGGAAGAGTAGACAACATGAAACGCAGATAAACTGATAAAATATGATTATAGACTCACCTGTTGATATCCTCCTGTTCAGTAGGGGTAAGATAACGGCAGAGTGGGTCACGGATGTTGAAGCGATGGGGAGAGATGGAGCTTGGAATGTCGGGGAACATGGAATCATCGTGTCCAGAAAATGGAGCGTAGCTGTCATTTGAGCATGTGGAGGATACAGAAATGTCATTGCTACGCTCGGTTAGGGGCGGGGTGATTGGTCCATGGCTGAAAATATCTGGCACTTGGTTCGTGCCACTCAGGGAGAAACCATCGGGATCCACTGGCATGTGGTCATATGGGCGTGCACTAGTAAACATTTCTGATTTTTCAATTTCCTGGGACTCAAGTTGGAGTTGCTTCGTGCTTTCTGGGTCGCAACTATGGGCACCATCGGGCTGGGACCCGGCATTATCAAAAGGGAAAACAAAGACGGAAGATAAGATAGACTGGTATCCCTGGGAACTACTGAATGCCAAGTGAGGACTGTTTCCTGAATCTGTCGTATCATGCAAATTATGGACATCTGACAGTGAGGAATACCTGGCAGGCTGGTCCAAAGAACTGACATGACCTGAGATCACTGGATGTGAAAAAGAGGCAAAACTATAGTCCTGGGAACTGCTGATATCCGGTTCTGTCACTGGCATCGGGCTAGTTTCAAACGATTCATCTGTGGTATCGCTTGTAGTACTGGAATTAGAGCTCATATATGCCCACTGGTTGTGTCCGGGCAGACTGTTGGAGCCGC